TTTTGTTGCATCTTCTTGATGCTTTCTTAATGAAATTATTATTTATCAAAAAAAATAAAATAATACTAATAGAATTAATTAAATGAAGATTACAAGAGAAATATATATATATGTCGAAAAAAAAAACCCTAAGCTAACCCTAGATTCCAACAAGGATTAAACTACCCTTAATGATAAAATAGATGTGCTTAACAGCCGCTGTCAGACTCAGGATGTAACAGTAGGAAGCATTGAAAGTTTCTCAAGCAGAAAGTGGAAGCGCAAAATAGGATGGGACTTCATAAAGAAATCAACAAGCTGCATAGTGGACGAAACAAAGGGTAACAACAAAGTGCAGAGCTGTAGCTGATGGTGCATTTGCTCATGGAAAAAAAAAATTATGAGCAATCCGAATAGCAATCTTATTATCGCAATACATAAAAGTACTAGTAAAAATGGAAATTTTAAAATCTGTAAGCAATCAACACAACTAAACAATTTCAACAGTAATGGTAACCATAGCTCGATCCCATCTGTTTCTTTTTCGTTCTCTTGGTTAGATCTTATTTCTCTTGATCCCTTTCCTGATGATATTCCACCTGATTCGTATGTTCATGACCTTTCTCTTTTACAGAGTTCCCCTCTTCCTCCTCTCCCTCTCGGTTGTCTTCTGATGTATCTCCTCTTATAGTTCATACTTGTACTCGTAGGAAAATGTGTGATTTATTTGCAGATACAACTTCCTACGATCCAGTTGTGTCCCCGTTGCCTGTTGCTGACGAGGCTCCTGCTGTTTTGCACTATGCTCAACGATTCCGTATATAACCTGATCATTTTGGTTTTTCTAACTCTAGTTAATCTTCTGAATTTTGCTCCTATTAACTTCTATTCACTCTATCTGATCCCACTTCTTATAAGAAGGCTCTTTCTGATCCTCTTTGGCAACAAGCTATGGAGTAGGAGCTTTTTGCTTTGCATAGGATTGGTACTTGGACTCTTGTTCCTCTTCCTTCTGGTAAGCATGTTGTGGGTTGCCGATGGGTTTATAAGATTAAAATTAAAGCTGATGGCTCCGTTGAGATTTATAGAGCTCGGTTAGCTGCTAAAGGGTTTTCTCAGGAATTTGGTATTGACTACGAGAAGACTTATGCTCCCATTGCCAAGATGGCCACTGTCCGTACTTCAATTTCTCTTGCAGTTGTTTATCATTGGCATATCTCTGAAATGGATATTTGTCTAAAGAGATTTTTATGGCCCGTCCCCTTGGACTTCATCATAACCCTGGTGATTTTTGTAAACTTCACAAAGCTTTGTATGGCCTTAAACAAACTCCTCGTGCTTGGTTTGCCAAGTTTTCTATTGTTGTTTGTGCTTTGGGTTTTCACCCTAGTGATCATGATTCGGCTCTTTTCCTTTGTTTTACTTCAACTAGTCAGATTATTCTCTTGATATATGTTGATGGCATGATCATTACTGGTGATGATCTTGATGGCATTTCTATTCTCACGAGTCACTTATGTCACCATTTTGAAATGAAAGTTCTTAGCTCTTACGCTGTTTATTGGGGATTGAAGTGGTTTACTCTCCTAAAGGGTATCTTCTCTCTTAGTCCAAATGTCTCCGAGGTCATTCAGAAAGCTATTTTGACAGATACACGCACTGTTGACACCTTGCTTGAACTTGAAGTTCATTACACTTCTACTTATGGTGTTTTATTTGATCCTACTTTGTATCGAGTTCTTGTAGGTAGTCTTGTTTACCTTAGTGTTACTCGTCCAGTTTGTCTCATCTTTGACTACTGTTCATTGGGTTGTTGTCCTCCGCACTATGGCTCTTTACATCAGAGTTTGTACTCTTCTACATCTTCTTTAGAACTATGTATCTTTTATGATGCTGACTAAGCTAGGCTGGTGATGCCATGGATCACTACAGCTACTACTGCTGCTAAGATTATCTGGTTATGTTGGTTGCTTGTGGGTTTTGGCATTTCTTTGTTTGCTCCTACTTTCATGTATTGTGACAATAAGAGTGTCATTCAGATTGCCCATAACTGTGTCTTTCATGAGCGCATAAAGCATATTGAGATTAACTATCACTCTGGGCATCATCATCTTTAGCTTCACACCTTATCTTTACCAATTGTATTGTCCACTATGCAGTTGGTTGACTTATTCACAAGTCTCATCCTACTTTCTGCTTCTGTTTTCTACTTGACAAACTCCCGATCTCTGTTATCAGAATCTTACGATTCTTGATTCGATTCACGATTCAATTCGCAATTTTTGCAAAATGAATACGAATCTATGGGTGAATCTATTTTGAAGTGAATCTTTAGTGAATCGCACGATTCACGATTTAATTCACTTTTTACAATTCATGCAATTCTTGAAACTATCATGACTGACATATTTCAATTATTTTTTTTACTATTTATTTGGGATTATATAATACAATTTCTAATAGTGTTTAGTACAAAAATAACCAACATATATACATGATTTTTTTGTTATTTTGGAGATCTGGGAGTTTTCAATAGGATTAAATCAGATTGAGTCAGACCCAATATGTTTTTAACCCTTTCTTCTCATTTTTTTTGTCCTCAAAAGAAATCATAGCGTATCTTCTAAAGATGTTTAAGGTTAAAGTAACTTGCAATATGAATTATCTATTGCTATTTTATTGAAATAAATATACTTCAATATTACATGGTTAGGTAATATTGAAGTAGAATATGTTATGAAATATCAATATCGGTGTTAAGTTATTGTTACTTGGAAATTGAGAATTTGTCTTTGTTTACTTTCTTTATTAAGAATGGTTGATAAGCAATATCTAAAAAAAGGAAAATGTATGATGGTGATCTTATATGGGAACCTGTGTTAACTTCTTACCTATTAGATCACATGATCATCATTCAAAACATTATTTTCATTGATTTAAGTTTAAATATTTTATATTTATAAGATATATTTAACATCTAAGTGTGTAGGTATATTTTTCTAAGTAATTTAGAAGAAGTGACCGAATCTTTACGATTCACGATTCGATTCGATTCGCGATTCAGTGACAACTATGCTCCCGATACTTTCTATTGTCACATCCTAAGTTTGTGGGAGGGTGTTAAGAATATATTATTTTATATTCATTAAGGGTAGTTTTGTCCTTATTCTTGTGTAGGGTTTCTTTAGCGCTTATCTATATAGATATGTCTCCATTGTAATCTCTTTGATTACTTATAATAATGGAATTTTTAGTGTCAATAATGTGAGAATTAGTCAACTTGGCCCTCTAAAGAACATCAACTGCATACTTGGACTGGTATAGAAGATACCCTTTACGCGAGCCAAGATCTTTCATCTCAAAGTGATTGTGTAGTTGAGTCTTGAGAACAAAAAATACCATCAATATCATCACCAATGATGATCATGTCATCAAGATATAACAAAAGAAATGATTTGCCTTGCAGAAGAGGAACGAAGAAAAAGAGCTGGATTATGATCACTGGTATGAGAACCTAAGGCACAAGCCACTGTAGAAAATTTCTCAAACGAAGCACGAGGAGCCTATTTGAGAACACATAATGCTTTGCGAAGTTTGCAAACTTCTCCATAATGATGTAGAAGCCCAGGAAGATGAACCATAAAAATGTCCTCAACCAAATCACCATTTAGAAAGGTGCTCTTGACATCCATCTCTGAGAGAGATGCTAGTGATACACAATTGCTACAACAATCAAAGTATGAACAATTGTCACCTTAGCAACAAGAGCAAAGTCTCCTCATAATCAATGTCATATTCTTTAGCAAATCCTTTAGCCACCAATCTAGCTTTATATCTTTCCATAGAGTCATCCACTTTGGTTTTAATCTTATAAACCCATCGAAAACCAACATGTTTACCAGAGGGTAAGGAGACAAGATCCTAAGTACTAGTCTTATGTATATAAAGCTCCTAATTCATGTTGCCAAAGAGGATCAGAAATAGCCTCCTTATAGGAGGTTGGCTCTAAAAGAGAACGAATAAAAGATAAAACAAAATTTAGAGAAATAACAGAAATTGTAGAAACAAAAACAATCAGAACACTTACGAGACCATTGAGAATATTGAGAACTAGTAGGAGCCTAATAATCAGCAGGGAATGGAGACAGAGCCGAAGGAGGTTGGGGAGCTGTACCTGCATCGCGCATTTTCCTACAAGCATAAGGATGGCCAATAGAAGGGGCATCAGCTGAGGACCAAGAATGAGATGAAGAATAAGAGGGAATATCATGGGAGTGTGAATAACAAAAATGATGAGGATTATGGATTTGATGAAAGAATCATAGTGGAGATTGTTTGGTTTACCGGGGGGAGGGGGAGAGGGAGGGACAGAGATAAGCTCTATGAAGCACCGACACTTCAAAACAAGTGTTGTATCTGTGTCGGACACACGGACACTTCGGGAACACATGGACACGGCGGGGACACGTATAGGACACACTACATGGCGTGTTCCCTTATTTAATTAATTTATTTTCAGAAAACATGTTTGGGGCACTTCGGGGACACGAAAAACATGCCAAGTTGTCTTTTCCTCCATTTTATTATAGTGCTTTTGATGAATGTTGAATATTTATTATTATTTTTAAAAAAAAATTTAAATACTTAATAGATCATCTATAAAATATATATATATATATAAAAAAAAAAACTGTAAGTGTTAATTTACAAGTATTTAATATATATAATAGAGAATTAGCGTTAGTTTTTGTTAATATGGATTGTTTGTGGATATAATATTGATATAGATAGAAAATAAAAATATGTGAAAACATATTTTATTGCCGTGACCCCGTCGTGTCCATGTTCCATTTTCTTGAAATCACCGTGTCATGTGTCTGCATCTGTATCCGTGTCCGTGCTTCTTAGGATAGGCTGGTACAATTTCTTATATCATGAGATCAATATTCTCTTCTATATTTTCTTGCCACTTTACAAGTTGTTAATGATTCTTCTTACTATGTCTTTTTGTTGGTTTGTAGATGACAGGCAGTGTAGATGCAGCCAGAGATGTAATAATAGACGGCATACAACATGTGCCTCATTGCAAATTACTTCTAGAGGTATCTTTGTCTTGTTCCATGTAAAACTATATAATTGGTCCTAAAAAAATGCCAATATACTTGCAATAAGAATTTCGTTTTCAATATTTTTCACCCATGTATAAATATTTTTTGCCCATGTATCATACTTTGTTGTGATTGATGCTTTTTTCCTCCTCTTCTTATGTTGTCCCGGCCCCTGCTCTCCAAAACACACACACACACACACACACAGAGTTAGGGTTTATGAACCTAAGAACTACGGCAACACACCTCTTACCAGCTCATCCACGCCTACGAGGAAATGACTTTTGGTTGTTTCTTGTACAGGGGCTGATAAATTTGTTGATGATGCATGGAGGACTAGGACAAGTGAATGTAGTGGACAATATCATAGTTGATGCTATCTCTCCAGGGTCAGATGCATCTCGAAGTTTGGGCAATAAAGAACGGGAGGATATATCAGTTTTATATTTACAGGTCAATATTTCTATTTGAAATTGTATACTATAATCTCCCATCTTTTCGCTAATATGTTAATTGGAAGTCATCATAAACTTATCTTTCATCGGTGTTTCTTTTTGTATGTGGGTGCCTTCCTTGTTATCTTTGTATCAATCTTCTCTTCTTATCTACTTAGGAACAATCACATTGAGGGGAACGTTAGGGGATGGAAAAGATAAAAAAATTAACACGGGTAGTAAGGAAGGACATGTTAACTTATTGTAACTAAAGTTATGGCCTTTGATCTAAAAATGGTGCATAATGATTCATTTAGCCTAGCCCAAGTAGATGGGACAAGGCTTAGTTGAGATCAGTTATTTGATAGTGTTAGGTGATATTGTTTGAACTGTATAATGTACCTACGGAGCCCCCAAGTTACCACTAGGATATCTTGTTAAATTTTAGTTTTGTTGAAATAGTATTTATTTCATTATTTATTACATTTATTAACTTCATTTATAATGAAAATTAATTGTATTCAATAAATTAATACTTCAATGTCATTTGTCTCACATATGGCAAGATATAGTATAAATGTAAATATTTATACATTTCTTTTTACTTTTTAAAGAATGAAACATTTAGAAGAACTTTCCAATGAAAATTACCAAATGCCTTTCCAAAAAGTGAAGAAAGTAATAAAATTTCATGTTAGCATGAAGATACATTCATATCTTTTTATTCCAAATAAGGGGAGGACCAAAAAAAAAAAGGCCAAAGGAATCTTGCTACTCTGATTGCTAAATATCAAACTACGGTAGTTTTGTTCTCAACATGACACATAAATTGGGTCCTTTGATGATAATCTTATCTTTTTGCTACTTGGTGGCACTTTATAGGGATTTTCATGTTAGAATAGTATATTATTAGTATAATATTAGTTGGGTTTGTAATTATTATATGCCTTAGGGCTCCCTTATAATTATTAATCTTTATTAATATAAAAGGGGATGATACCATAATCATACCCTAATCTTGGTATTTTCTAAATTTATCATGGTATTAGAGCCTAACCCTAAAACCAAAACCCATCTACCCATACAGTACCCACCGGAGCCACCAACTACCGCCGGAGACAACCAACTTCATCAGACAACCTGAGGGGTTTCTGCTCAAGCCGACTTAACCCTGAGGGGTTTCGGCTCACCTAGGGTTCAGAAATCACCTGGTGCGATGAACGTGGACCACTGAATCACCTTCTGATCATCTTTGTTGGCTTCGTCGACCACTGGATGACCCAGCCGACAGCTCCTAAGCCTTCATTGGCTTCAAACGACTACCTCGCCTCTCCCTCTACTTGACTCCTGTGCTGACTGCCTCTAGTTCTTTGTCGTCTTCCTCTGTCTGTCTCTCTTTCTTGAGCTCTTCTTTTTTTTGTTTTTCTTTTTTTTACTTTTTTTTATAAAAAAAAGCAGAAAAAATATGAGTTGTTAATTCTTTATACTGTCCTAGTGGTCATTGTGTTTGTTTTCCCTTCTATCACCACCTTCCGGGTTTGTGATTGACACTAGTTTTGTTGAAAGTTCGGTAGTACAGTATCTATGGCAGATTCCACCAGTGTGTGTCCACTATCTCTCAGATACTTACGAGTGAGAGTTCCCCTATACCTACTACTATGACTGATAACCCCAACCCGAGTCTTAAAATTACCACTTCTCTATTTAATTGTCAGAACTATCTCACGTGGTCGCAGAGTTTGACTATGTTTTTGAAGAGTAGAGGGAAGATGGGGTATGTGGATGGCAGGATACCGGCACCCAATACGACTGACCTGGGTTATGACCAATGGGAGATTACCAACTCTTTGATTATGGGTTGACTTATTCATTCGATGGTACCAGACATTGGCGAGGGCTACTTGTCTATGGAGACTGCCTAGGATGTTTGGGATGCTGCGGCTACCACGTATTCCCTCAAAGGGAATTTCTCACAGGCATTTGAGTTACGCCGCTCTATTGAGAGCTCTGTTCAGGGGGGAGCAGACGGTTCTTTAGTACTTCACCTTTCTCGCCAATGGCTAAAAATGTCTTGATCACCTGCAGGACTATAAGACTGTTTGCACTGCTGATTCAGTCGGGTTCAGGAAGTTCATTGCATAGGAAAGGGTCTTCAAGTTTCTGGCAGGTCTCAATGGGGAGTACGATCTGGTTCGGAGTCGGGTTTTGAGTATAGACACTCTTCCTTCACTTTCGGAGGCATTTGCCTATGTACAGAATGAGGAGAGTCGTCGGTCTGCTATGATGTCCCTACTGACTACTCAGCATTACTGTTTACCCCTAGAGATCGCCTTAGCCTGACTCCCATCCCTCCGTCTGTTGCTAAGGAGTCTGTATTCTGTGATTACTATAAAAAGCCACGGCATACTTGTGAGACGTGTTGGAAGCTTCATGGGACTCCATCCGGGGGTCGATGTGATCGGTCTGGTTCTAGAGGAGGTCGGTCAGGCCAATTTGGAGGACGTGACTCCCATCTACGGGCTCATCAGTCTAGTGCCGTTGATACACTTGATTCTACTTCCGCTTCCGTTGGCTAGGCTTTTGATGATCTCTCTGGCATGCCTACTCATGAGCTTGAGGATGTTCTCCATCACCTCCTACTGCCTTTTAGTACATCTTCCTCGTCGTTTGCCGGCTCAGGTAACTTAGCCTCTTCTTCTCTTGTTTTCCTGTCTCATAAGTCTTTGCCCTGGATTATTGATTCTGGTGTCTTAGATTATATGTCTGGATCCGCTGACCTTTTCTCTGCCTATAAGCCCTCTTCAGGTCAGGACAAAGTTAGGATTTGTTTAGTCCATGTCATTTTTGGGAAATGTTTAGTCCATGTCACTTTTACCATACCTCTATCTTTTGTTCTCCATGTTTCTAATTTTTCTGTTAACTTGTTATCCTTGAGTCGTCTTACAAAGGATTTGAATTGTAGTTTGACTTTTTTTTTTCCTGATTATTGTCTTTTTCAGGACCTTGTCACGAGGAGGACGATTGGCAATGGTAGTGCAGAAAATGGTCTCTACTTCCTGGATCAACCGGACAAGCTTAGCTCATTTATGGTTGTGGCATCGGCGTGTTGGGCATCCTTCTTTTTATTTACTTAAGCATTTATTTTCATCTGGTTTTGCAAACAATAATGTGTTGAGTTTCTTTGTGAGTCTTGTCAACTTGGAAAACAACATAGAGCTTCTTTTGCTCCCAGTTTTAATAAGAGTTTAGTTCCTTTTTCCTTAATACATTCTAATGTCTGGGGTCCATCTTGTGTTATGTCTATGAAAGGTCATCGAGTTTTGTTACATTTATTGATGATTTTTCTCGTACTACTTGGGTGTATCTCATGAAAGACGAGTGAGGTTTTCTCTGTGTTCCGCAATTTTCATAAGATGATTTGTACTTAGTTTGGGGCCACCGTCAAAATCTTCCATTTTGATAATTGGGGGAAGGGAAGGGGGGAGGGGGGAATACATCGATTCTGGGTTAGGATAATAATTTTCTGCCCATGGCATCATCCATCATACCTCTTACACCAATACCCCTCAACAAAATGGGGTGGTAGAACGCAAAAATCGTCATCTTATTTTCATAAGATGATTTGTACTCAGTTTGGGGTCACTGTCAAAATTTTCCGTTTTGATAATTGGGGCTAGGGGGGGGGGAATACATCGATTCTGGGTTAGGATAATATTTTTCTACCCATGGCATTATCCATCAGGCCCTCTTGCACCAGTACCTCTCAACAAAATAGGGTGGTGGAATGCAAAAATCGTCATCTTCTTGACATGGCTTGGTGCATGTGTTTTTCTGAGTGTGCCTCGGTCCTACTAGGGCGACATTATTCTCACCGCTGCACATCTTATTAATCGTCTTTCTGCCCAGCTCTTACAAAAATAAGCTTCCCTTCAAGTCCTCTTAGGTTTCGAGTCCTTATTTTCTATTCCTCTAAAAATATTTGGATGTGTCTGTTTTGTCCACAATCACTCTCCTACTTGTGGTAAGTTGGACCCTTGCTCCCTCAAATGTGTTTTCCTTGGGTACTCTCCTACTCAAAAGGGATATAAGTGTCATCACCCTTCTTCACCCTAAGTGGTTTGTGTCCATAGATGTCACATTTTTTGAGTCTCGGTCCTATTTCTTGTCATCTCCAGTATCACAGTCCTTCCTTCAGGAGGAGCTTTGGTGTGAAGTGATTCTTGTGAATGAAGCGATTCTTGTGATTCCTCTAGTGGAACCAATTGTTCTTGCACCACTACCTCTTACTGGGACTACAATGTCACCAAGGATAGGGAAGGGCAAAGGCAAAGGCAAGTTTATGTCGGGGACAAAAATAGACAGAAAATTGACTGGATACAAGAGACCACTTCTGCCAACCCACTGCCATCTCCTGCTTTTGATGAGAGTCCATGTAACTTTGAATCTCTTGAGTCCACTGATCTTGATACTCCTATTGATCTTGATGTTCCTATTGCCAAAAGAAAGGGTGTGAGATCTTGTACTCAACATCCTATCTCAAATTTTGTGTCTTACTCTCATTTATCATCCTCATATAGAGCTTTTGTGTAAAATATTTCCTCTGTTAGCATTCCTAACCATTTTCAGGATGCTCTTGCTACCTTTGAGTGGAAACTTACCATGATTGAGGAAATGAAAGCACTTAGAAAGATTGAAACTTGGGAATTGATTGAGTTACTTAAGGGCAAACGACCTGAGGGATACAAATGGGTGTATGCAGTGAAAAACAAAGTGGATGGGTCTATTGAGCGTACAAGGCTAGACTTGTGGCAAAAAGGTTCACTCAGACATATGGCGTCGACTATCAGGAGACCTTTGTACCCGTTGCTAAGATGAATTCAGTTAGAGTACTTCTCTCTCTAGAAGTTAATCTAGATTGGCCACTTTATTAGTTTGATGTAAAAAATGCCTTTCTCCATGGTGACCTCGAAGAAGAGGTATATATGGACATTCCTCCTGGTTTTGAGGATTATCAGACAGAGGGTAAAGTATGTCGGCTTAAGAAGTCATTATATAGTCTCAAACAGTCTCCGAGGGCTTAGTTTGAGAGGTTCACTCAAGCTATTCTTAAATATAGCTTCAAACAGAGTCAGGCAGATCACACCTTATTTGTGAAACATTCCTCACGTGGTAAGACTACAGCGCTCATTGTTTATGTGGATGATATAGTTCTTACAGGCGATGATAATGAGGAAATACCTCTGTTGAAGAAATATTTAACGAGTGAGTTTGAAATAAAAAACTTGGGGAGCTTGAAGTATTTTTTGGGAATTGAAGTTGCTCGATCTAAGGATGGGATATTTATCTCACAGCGGAAGTATGTGAGATAAGGGGTCTTATACACGACCCCCTTATAAACCATTTTCTCAAAATCTCTTTAAATCCACCAAAATTGAACTCAAAAGTTCATGCATGCAAGATTTTCCAAACTCCTTTCTCAAAAATCATGAATTCAACAAATTTGAGCTCAAAAGCTCCATGCATGTACAAAACTCTTATCCATAACTCTCAAAGCATGAATTTGAAAGCCGAAACATGATGAATCGAAGATGCATGTACAAATTAACTCACAATTTCAACATGGATGATCAAAACCAAACTCAAAAGTGGTAAAACTCAACGTATTCATGCATGCATGTAATGCTTCATCATCCTCTTGACCTTATTTAACAAAATACATGCCAAAGATCATATATACACATGAACTCAACTCATCTTCAAGAATTGAGGATTAAATTCTCACATAGACCCTTCAAATACACTTGTTCTAGCACAATTTTGACCAACACTAGCTAATTCTCCAAGTTCTTCAAATTCTACACTCTCTCTTTATATGAGAGTTCACTCTCTGTCTAACATTTATCTTAGTTTTTTGCACTCAGGAATGAAGATGGATGAGCTCAAGAATGAGCTTATATCACATTTATATAGCTAGGATGGCTTAATACATTAATTAGAACATTAGACTATTTAAACACAACTTATTTAATCAAACTGAATCAATTTTTAATCAAACTTAGCAAATGGTTCTAAAAATTCCAGTTAGTCTATATTCATATAGCGAATTTCGGTTTCTGAAATCATTTAATTCACCAATTTCAAATTCTAAATAGAAATCATAACAGATAGTTTTCAAATCGGACAGGTATACACAAATTAATCACATGGCACATATCACAATTAAAACTTAACACATAATTAAATAAATGTAATCATGAGTTGTCACAATTAGGTTTTCAAGGAAATCTTTATTCTCTTTTCTTTCTTTTGTAGACTTCTTAGAAGAGATGAAAAAGTAATAGTCGGTTGGCAAGGTTGCTTTTTGTGCACTAGTATAATTATCATGTTCTTGAGTTGCACGCCCTTGCTGCCTTTTAGTGATTTCTTTACTCAAGAAACATTTATTAATTTATGTATTTATGCGTATCTATACAGGTGCATATACACATTGAATGTGTGTATATTTATGCATACACAGAGGATATGTTTGTATGCACATATGTGTGTCATACTCATACTGTATCACTCAACTACTTTTCAACTATACAATGGGATGTATCATCATTTGTTTGAGCCTTATTTGTTAACCTTCCAACAAAACTATTTATACATTTGGTGTATCTGAAATTTTGAATTAGTAGCTCTTTTTTTGGGCAAATTTCACCAATGGTACCTGTAGTTTCTTCTGAGTTTTATTTTGGTCCCTCTCATTTCAATTGCAACACATTTGCTCTTGAATTTTTAACTTTGTGTCAAATGAGTCAAATTGAAAACTGCCATCCAAATTTTAGATGGAAAATGATGACACGTGACCAATTTTCACGGGTAATGTAGTCATTCATCCTTTCTTCTTCTAATTCAGTCCACTGACTCGAGTTTTCTCAATCTCAGTCAACTCACTACATACCACTTAACCCATCCTCCAGTCCACACCCACCACCCTATCAGCAGCATCCCACTTTCTTCCACCACCAACGATTGTAGTTAGTTAAGGGAACTCACAAAATAAATACAAATGACCAATTGATTATCAAATTCATCAATTATGTGTAAAGTACATGAACAATTGCAGTCTTCTCTGTGCAGTGTGTGACAAACAGAGAAGAAAGGAGGGGGTGACAAATTTAATTGATAGAGGAACTGGTGGTTGGCGGCAAATGGGGAGGAAGAGATGATAGTGGTGGCGATGTCGATTGTCGTCACAAGACCTGGTAGTGATTGTCATTGCCAGAATTGGTAGTGGTGCCGCTGCTTCAATTTTTCATCACTTGGCTGTGGTGCCAGAATTGTGGTGGTGGTTGAAGCTTTTTCTCTCATCTTCCCTTTTCTCTCTCTTCTCCCTCATATCTTCTTTTCCTTCTTCATTTTATTTCCTTTCTCTGCTATGATATATATATATATATCACATAACATAACAACATATATCAATGCATTAAGGAATGAAATATCCATTCTGGCCTTTCATATTGGTGACATGTATAACATGTGAGTTGTTTTTGATAGAAAATGTAACGGCCATTTCGAATTGGATTCATTTGAAACAAAATTAAAAATTCAAGGGCAAATGTGTTGCAATTGAAATAAGAGGGACCAAAATGAAACTCAGAAGAAACTACAGGGATCATTGGTGAAATTTACCCCCCTTCTGTTGTGTGTGTGTGTGTGTAGTTTTTGGAACTTAAAAGTGTGTAGCTTCTTTTTGCCTTTTGGTTAGCGTATGCATATGGGTGGGTGGCATCCCTTCTAATGCCTTTTTTAACAAACTTATTTTATTGAACAAGAAAACTTTTTGTTCATTAGGCGTAAGAATTGTTCTTGGATATACAAGGCTTTTTTGTAACATTTTGGCTATGGTCCTTCTTGGCAAATGGTTATGGAGATTTTCACTTGAGAGTGATTCACTATGGCATTCGATTATTAGAAGCAAGTATGGGACTCAAGACAATGGTAGGTATTCACGGGTGGTTTTGAGGGGTAATTGTCGTGCTCCTTGGAAATCAATTTCTCATATCTATACATGTTGGTCTCGTCATCTTTCTGTAAGGGTGGGCAATGGGGAACTTGTTCATTTTTGGGAGGATGTTTGGATGGGTCAATCTTCTTTTGCTTTTGATTTTCCACGTCTCTATAGAGTGGCTTGATCTCATAATTCTTCTATTGCTTCCATGGCCTGTTCACTTTTGGCTTCCATTTCTTGGAATTTTGTTTTTTCTAGGAATTTTAATGATAGGGAGGCTTCACAGTTACCATCTTTGTTGTCTAGAATCGACAATTTTTCTTTGGCTCCTCTTTTGGAGGACTAGAGGGTTTGGGCTCTTCATTCATCTGGGATATTTTCTTGTAAGTCTTTTTTTGATAAAATCATCGTTACTCCTCATGTTCCTCAGTTTCCTTTTTGCAAAAGAATTTGGAATACTTGTGTTCCTCTAAAGATGAAGGTATTCATGTGGGCCTTGGTTCATGGAGGTATTTTGACAAATGATACATTGCAGAAACAGAGAGCTAATCGCTTTCTAAATCCTTAGTGGTGCATTCTGTGTTGTAAGAATGGAGAATTCGTGGATCATTTATTTCTACATTGCCCAATTGATTTAAATTTATGGCACAAATTGTTTTTATTAGGGAATGTTATGTGGGTAGCCCCAAAAGGGAGTGCGCGTATGCTCCAAGTTGACTTCCGCGCTTTCGAAGGATCGAAGAGAGCCACAATGCTATGGTCTTGTGCGGTCTTTGCAACTTTTTGGGTTCTATGGATTGAAAGAAATGCCAGGGTGTCTGAAGATAAGTTCCGGGAGGTGGACTGTTTGTGGGATAGTGTTTGCCACTTAACTTCTTTTTGGGTTTCGGGGAATCCTCTATTTAAAGGGTTTCCATTTTTTTTGTTAGCTAGAGATTTGTTGACGGTGAGTGATATGTAGGCTTTTGCTTAAGAGTATCTTGTTAGGGTTTTGCTTTGTGTTTTCTCCTTTTCTTTTGTTAGAGGATGCCTCATCCTCGCTTACTTTTTTGATTCATCAATAAAGTCCTTTGTTGTTGACCAAAAAAAAAAAAAAAAAAAAGAACTTAAGTAAAATATATTCTTCAGTCAACCCGTTCGATCTTCAGACTGATAGAACTGACTGAACTAGACACTTTTTCTGATTTGATGATCACTCTGATTCTCACAACATGCTGTACAACATTATTAGTCCAATCACCGTCACACTCTCTTTTCCTATGGTTCAACCAATACCGGCATGCCTTCACTTTTATGTGATGAGATAGAAAGTGCATCTACACATTTTCGTACATTAGAACAAAGATTCTTCTTATAAATATCCTTTCTTTGTGCCTGAGATTCTTGTTAGTTTATGTTGTTTATTCTTTTTTCATTATTTTGTATTGGGGGAAATTATAAATTCTCTATATATATGTCTCTGACAATGATTAATCTATGATGTCTTCAGTTTGTTGACCAATGTGGAACTGTCCATGATATAAGAAAGGCATGGAATCGCCACATTAAATTGTTTCCACATTTGGTAAGGACTTCCTCATTAGATAAACTCCCCACTTCAGGTAATCAACTGTTGGATATGTTTATGGAAGCAAAACAAAGGAGCCCTTTTCCATTGTCTGATCAGCCATCTGGAGGCCATAATTCTGACAATCATACCGAGCTCCAAATGCAAGAGCTCACAGATCATTTTCAACCAGAAGACAAAGACAACAGTGCCCAGGAGAGATTGCAACAGTTATCTCCCAAAATTGCAGAGCAGTCCGTGGAAGATGATGCATCTGGAGTAAATAAATTAACCCATGATTCAGTACATCAGTCTGGAGATGATACATCTGGACATATGGAATCAACTCCTTATTTAGTACATCAGTCTAGAGAAGATGCATATGGACCAGTGGAGTCAACTCATAATTTAGGACACAAATCTGGAGAAGATGCAAATATACCGATGGAATCAACTCATGGTTTAGCACACCAACCTGGAGAAGATGCATCAGGACCAATTGTGCCAACACAAGAATGTTCTGATTCCATCAATGTTCAGCAACAAGAAGAACAAAAACAAAGCCATGAGCCTGAACAGCATCTGAAGCTGCTTTCTTTAGACAGTCTTTCCTTGAATTCTCAGGAGAAGGAATATGGGGATTCAACACTCATATCTTCGTACAAGCATCAAGCTCTTATATCCAATAGAATATCAGTGAATCGTCGGAATGCTAATGGGAGCCCTTCTGTAGTCAGCCGAGGAAGCAATCGATCTGCTGATTCTGCTCAAATCCAAAAGGAATCAGTAAATCCCTCATCTTTGGCTAGTCGTCAGAATCTTTTACCAGAACAAGCACAGACACAGCCTCATGTGCCTACAGATGATGCTGTAAACTGGCATCAAAGCAACAGCAACACAGTTCAAGCTTCTGGAGATGCAAGATCTGGGTTTCATGGGGATTCACAAGAGCAACAGAATCAACAATGGCAAGTTCCTCCACAGCAACAAATCCAATCACAAGTTCAGCAAGCCATCCAATCACAAAATCAGCAGGGATTTGTATCGGTACACCAATCACAACCATCTTCTTCCCTAGCTGCTTCTCGGCATCAAGTGCAGGTGCCTCAGTTCTCTATGCAAAGTGGTGGGCAGTTTGGGCATGCACCTTATAATGAAGCAGCATACAATCAGATAATGGAAAACTATTTCCGACAGCAGCAGCTGATTGTTCAACAACACTACGAGCAGCAACAACAATTTATGCAGCAGTTGCAACAGCAAGTTCAGCAGCAACCCCATCAACAGCAACAGCAGGAAGCTTACGTACAGAAGCAACAACAGCTGGCACAGCTGTACTATCAACAGTGTCCTCAGCTGCATGAACAACAAGCTCAGTTGATGCAGCAGCAGCTTCTGCATGCTCAGCAGCAGCAAGATCAACTATATCATCAGTATATGCAGCTGCAGCAACAGCACCCAATGCAACAGCAACAAGGATATCAGCAACTGCAACAGCACCACCAACTGCAACAGCAACAAGGACAGCCGTCCCAGCAACAAATTACTTCAACACAGATTCCGACATGGAACAGGAGCTACTATCAAGAGGTGTGCTTCTCAATGACAGCTATCAAACTGATCAGATTTTTGTTTTGAATGTGTAAATATGCGTTTCTTGCTTGTCAAGGAGGGAAAGTTGGCAATGGTGAGCAGTGACTTTTTATAGTAATGGAAAATTGGTATTATAAAGTTAGAACTTCTATTTTTTTAGTTCCTTACCTCTGGTGTGAGATCAATCCTTAGTTAATTATGTTTTAGGGTAAATTACGCCGACGTCCCTTTAGGCTTGAAGAAAATACAGTCAACCCTGCACTTTTGACATAATTTTATCAACCTCTCTTAATGTTTTAATTCACATAACCCATATTTCATCATGAGTAATTCATTAGTTGTATGGATGGGAAAATGGTGTCATCTATTTTATACTAAAATGTACGTTTGACCCTTGTTTATTCATGTGTCTCTACACCTTTGCATTAGTTTTGGTCACTTTAAACTTGCTAAAAAGGAGGTCAATGTAATTATGTCAAACTTGTGGGACTTATTATATATTTTTTTCTATACCTCATGGGTGTCTGTAATTTACCCTATGTTTTACTGGTAACCTTTAAGCAAACCTCAATCTCTTAAAAAGGTTCATCCCTCTTTTTTTTTCTTTTTTTTTTTCTTTTTTTTATATTTTATTTTATTTTTTGATGTAGGGCCAACAGGTTATACCATTGCATGGTGCAAGTTCATCTGGAACCACTGAATCTCCACATCCCCAACAACAATCTCAAGGCATAACACCAGCACATCGTGCAGATGGATCTGGAACTTCTGTATCTCCACATCGCCAGCAGCAATCTCCCCATGGAGCTACACCACCACATAGTGCAGGTGCATCTGGACCTACCACGTCTCCCTGTAACCATCAGTAATCACCTGTAAATGATTTTTCTTTTATTCCTTTTAAGTCCAGTGGAGGATTTCCCTTGCTAGAGAGAAAACTTGGATTGTGTTTAATTGAACACAAGGGGAACTGAAAAATTTTGAATGATGACAAGAGTCTCATTTGGGAAGCCTACTGTAAATCTTACATGTCAGAACAGTTTGTCTCAAGGGTGGTTATTTTGCATAGGCCATGTTTGTTGGTGTGGTTGACAACTAAGAGTGCTGATTTCAGGGCATTGGATTTTTTATGAACAAGGAACTTTCTAGCAAACTTTGAATGATTCTTTGCTCAGATATGGTCCGGCTTGTGTGGCATTGCATTTTGTAGGGACACTCGGTTTGGTGTATGGGGTTTTTGTTAGTCACTTTGTTCTAGGCTGGCTTGGTAGGTTCAGGTGTTTGTTTCAGTCTGCTCTTTATCTCTATTTTGATATGTCTAGTTCTTAGCGTCTCCCAATTTTATTTATTTTAGGAATAACAATGATTTGAATTCAAAGGGACCTTGAACTCTGTTTATTTGTTCGAATGACCATTAGATATGAAGTTTTAGAGCTTGTAAATGTTGATTGTCGCCCTAACTTACTAATTGTTGTTGTTGAGAGAGATTTTTTGTTGGTTCTTTGAAATTCCCCATTTTCTGAGTAAATGTAGTCTCTTTATCATTGCCATTAATTTACTTTGGTATTTTTAAGAACACATCCCCAATAGGCTTCTAAAGGCATCTGTTTCTGAAATTAATTTATCACCTTTTTAGCGAAGATAAAGCATCTGGAAAGTTTTATCATTTTCTTAAATTGTTTAATTAAAGCAACATTCCTTTACTATCCATTCCAAAAACAATTTTTCCCTTAATTTGGTTAACCAAGGAATTTCTATTTGAAATGTTTTTGATAAAATTTCATCCATAATTTAAAATACCCATTAAACTCTGTAATTGTGTTATATTTTCAAGAATATCAAGAAAATCTCATATTTTAGACAAAAATGTTCCTGTAATTTAAACCTTTCAGTTTAAAATTATCCATAAAAATTAATTGATTCTTTTTCTAGTTCAATCTTTTTTGTGTAAACATAATTTCATGTTTTTTGAATTTTTCACAAAATAATTTTAAATGTTTCTTACGCTCTTTCCTAGTTTTAGAAAAGATAAATATATCATCATATAAACTACACAACAATCCTTAAGATTTTTAAATATTGTTATCCATCCACCATTTGAAACTACTGGTTGTGCTATATTTAAACCAAAAGGCATAACATTTAGTGGTAACGTCCCCTTTGGGTGTATTGAAAACTGTCAATTTTTTTTTTTTTTTTTTGTGGATGCTGTCAATTTTTTGGACTCTTCAGTCAATTAATTTGCAAAATCCACTCTACAGGGTGCAGCGCGGTCGGTTGCGGCCCGGAACTCCAATCCGCCATCCGTTCGCCAGTTGGCAGATTGGAGAAATCAATCCGCATCTGTCTGCCAATCTGGCGGGATGTGGATTGAGCGGATTGGCGGTTTGGCGGATGGATACGAATCGGTTGACGGTTTAAATTTTATAAATTTTCAACAAATTCAACTGTGTATCCTTAAAAAAAAATAATTATATATTATAGTCAATGACTTAAAAAAATATTACAATCACGGCATGCCTCATCTAAAACAAAAAAGTTTGAAACTTTAGAATATCACAATCACTGCAAGTCTCATCCACATACTACAATCACAGCATGCCTCATCTACATAAAGTATTACAATTTGTGGTTCTTAAAATATAAAAATAATTCAAACCACCAAAACACGTGAACAGAGTAGTAGTAGAGATTATATATCTCTGTATTATTACATCTATATCTATTTTGAAAATAAAAATCAACCAATATATATCATATTTTCTATTTATTATTTTTAGAGATAGATTAAAAACCAAAAAATATAGATAAATAATACGTCTATTTTTTTCAATTCAAAAAAGATATTCAAGTAGAAAACTTTTTTTCAACAGAATATTTAAACTCTTTTTTTTAATTGAACAACACAAACAGAATATTTTAAACAAACTGAAAATACAAAGTCTTATAAATTACTAGGGGTGCTCGCGGTTTGACGGTTCAGTTGTGGCCAAGGAATCTCAAATCCACCATCCGTCCGCCAGATTGGCGGATTGGAGAAAATCAATCCGTAACCGTCCGCTCGTCATCACGCATCCGTTCAAAATGCGCAGATCGGTTCGATTTTGTCGGTTTTGGCGGATCGGTATATCCGCTGCTCACCCTCTTACAATCAAATTTGCTAAAGATTTTTGATCATTTGATTAATTTAATCAAAACATCTTTTCTTGGAATAAATAATCCATCAAATTCTAAATTTTCATTTAACCGTTTATAGTTGACTACCATTCAGGCATTTCCTCTTTTAATTTCAGCATGATTTCCCGACTATAAAAGTTGTACTAGAGTGAGGGCTTCTAGTGACGAAAATTGAAATAAAATTTTGCTATGCCCTATTATTACATCAAAGGTTCTCACTACCCATTGTAATGAATGCTATCTTAATTTATAACATTTCACAGTTACTCTGTGTCCCGTACATATACATACTTTCCTTTATCTAGTCCTCAAACATTGATTGCTAGATAGAATGCAGGATCAACTCTTTATACTCTTTAGTAAGTTAGGGCTTTACAT